GATCTAATTAGGTCCATTTGGTCTGTATTGCAGATTAAGTCATTTCTTTGTTGGTTTTCTGTCTGGATGATCTGTCCAATGCTGAAAGCGGAGTGTTGAAGTCTCCAGCTATGATTGTACTGGGGTCTGTCTTTCCCTTTAGTTCTGATATTTGCTTTATGTATGTGGGTGCTCCAGTGTTGGGTACGTATGTATTTATAATTGTTACATCATCTTGTTGAATTGACTTTTGACCTCCTTTGTCTCTTTTTATAGTTCTTGTCTTGAAATCTGTTTAGTCTGATTAATTATAGCCACTTCCGCCCTGCTCCTTTTTTTTGATTTCCATTTGCATGGAATATCTTTTTCCATTTCTTTATTTTCATTTGATGTGTGTCTTCATAGGTGAGGTGTGTTTCTTGTAGATCGTTTGGTCTGGTTTTTTAATTCATTCAGCCACTCTGTCTTTTGATTGGAGAGTTTAGTCCATTTACATTCAGTGTTGTTACTGATAAGTAAGGATTTGCTCCTGCCATTTTGTTACTTGTTTTTTGGTTGTTTCGTGGTTGTTTCTTCCCTCCCTCCCTCCTTCTCTCCTTTCCTCCCTCCCTGCCTCCCTCCCTCTTTCCTTCCTTCCTTCCTTCCTTCCTTCCATCCATCCATCCATCCATCCATTTTTTAGCGAAGGTGATTTTTCTCTGGTGGTATGTTTTAATTTCTTTTTATTTTTTTGTTTATCTGTTATATGTTGGGCTTGCTTTATGGGGCAATGAAAACATTTGAAAATTGACTGGAGATTGTCATTCAATTCGGTGAATATACCAAAAATTGAATTGTGTACTTTCAATGGGTGAATTGTGTGGTATGTGAATTATTTCTTAATAGTACCATTAAAAATACCAAAACCTTTCATATGGCAAAAGATACCAGAAACCATATTAGAGAAAATCCAGACTTGGATTAATTATGTGTAACATATAATACTGTTAGGCCGGGCACGGTGGCTCACGCCTGTAATCCCAGCACTTTGGGAGGCAAAGGCGGGTGGATCACGAGGTCAAGAGATTGAGACCATCCTGGTCAGCATGGTGAAACACCCTCTCTACTAAAACTACAAAAAATTAGCCGGGCATGGTGGCACGTGCCTGTAATCCCAGCTACTCAGGAGGCTGAGGCAGGAGAATTGCCTGAACCCAGGAGGCGGAGGTTGTGGTGAGCCAAGATCGCGCCATTGCACTCCACCCTGGGTAACAAGAACGAAACTCCGTCACAAAAAACAAAACAAAACAAAACATATAAAACTGTTAAAGGCTTCATCAGGGTGTTCCCAGAAAAAATAAATAAATAAATAAATAATACAATAAAAGTGTTAAAGGCTTAGTACCCGAAATGCAAAAGGAATTTCTAAATATCAATAAGAAATAGACTAACACTGTATTAGTAAATTACTAGAGGATTCAGGCATTTCGCTTAAGAATGGGCCTAAGTGGCTGATTAAAAAAGTGAACAGATACTGTTTCAGGGAGATGCAATTTAAAACAGTAGAGATATAATGTCACATCTGTCTTTTTGGATCAAATTAATATACCTTAGGGGATCAAGTGTTGGCACAAAGCTCATGAAAAGGAGCAGGCTCCTTCATTGCTGGGGAAGTATAAACTGGTTGGTCTCCTTGGAGAGTCGTCTGACAGTATCAAGTTGACAACGGGCCCTACTCTGTGACCTTGTACTAGAGCCACTCTTGTACCCGTTGCAGTGCCCTTTGTGGGTGAAACAGTAACAGGAACCCAGCTGGGCCCCTCAGACTGGGATAACTCAACTCACAGAACTGCATATATACAGCAGTGAGAGTCAGCAAACTAGATCAGCAGAGATCAACACAGATGTCAGAAAAACAGAATGTTGAGTGACAGTGCCATGGAAAATGATACATACAGATACCATCTCCCCCAGATTTTTAAATGCATAACAGTAATTGTATTGATTTGTGTGTACACATAGTACACAAAATGTGCATGGATAGTGGTACTTGCCGACGTAAGAACTGAGTTTGCTTCTGGGGAGCGGGGAAAGGATGCTACTTTCCATCTCAAGTCTCTCTAGTGAGGACAGATGTACACAGCCTGGCTTATTGCAGGTGGTTGATATTAGTTCTACCCTTTTTTTTCTTTCTTTCTTTTGAGACTAGGTCTCACTGTGTCACCCAGGCTGAAGTGCAGTGGGATGATCATGACTCACTGCAGCTTTGACCTCCTGGGGGCAAGTGATCCTCCTGCCTCAGCCTCCTGAGTAGCTGGGACGACAGGCATGCACCCTATGCCCGTCTGATTTTTAAATTTTTCATAGAGAGGCTGTCACTATTGCCCAGGCTGGTCTTGAACTCCTGAGCTCAAGCAATCCTCCAGCTCGCTGGGCCTCCCTAAGTGCTGGGATTATAGGCATGAGCCACTGTACCTGGCTGTTGCTGTTGGTTTTTCGGGCTGTTGATGCATCTTTTTGTCTCTAAAATTTAAACGCTGGTACAAATGTTTTTTAAAAATTGTTTTTTGCTAATGTTGTTGCAGTCGTCTCATAGTTTTAAGTGCTCATGTGTGCTAGCTGCTGTTCTAGGGGCCAGGGGCCAGGACTGCAGCTGTGAACAAGACGAGCAAAATCTCCGCTCTCATGGGGCTCACAAATTCGGGGTAACAGACAAACAAGTAGAAAAATAACTGTGCTCTTGATTGACACTAAACAATATGAAGGAAACAAAGCAGGCTGAAAGTGATCGGGGAAGGTGTGCTCTGAGGAGCTGGCTATTCAGCAGATTTGATTTTTTTTTTTTTTTTAATTGAGACAGAGTCTTACTCTGTCACTCAGGCTGGAGTGCAGTGGTGTGATCTTGGCTCACTACAACCTCCTCCTCCTGGTTTCAAGCGATTCTCCTGCCTCAGCCTCTCAAGTAGCTGGGATTACAGGTGTGCACCATGACACCCGGCTAATTTTTGTATTTTTAGTAGAGATGGGGTTTTGCCATGTTGGCCAGGCTGGCCTCGAACTCATGACCTCAAGTGATCCACCCACCTCAACCTCCCAAAGTGCTGGGATTACACGCGTAAGCCACCATGCCCAAACATAGACTTGCGTTTTAAGAAGAGAAAGCATGCGGAAATGTTTGGGAAAAGCATCCAGGGAGGTGAAAAAGTCTTCAGCTAGATCGTGGTAAAAAATGGCCAGAAGCATTAAATACTTAGGAATAATCTTAATAAAAGAAGTGCAGCCTTAACACTGTGAAAACAGAAAACACTGTTAAAATAAAGAACCTAAATAAATGGAAAGGCATCGCAGGCTATGGGACTAGCAAAGAACATTATTGAGAGAGCAGTACTCCCCAAACCGATCTGCAGATTGGGTGCAATTCCTGTCAGCGTCCCAGCTGCTTTCCTCGTAGAAATTGACCAGACCATCCTGAAGAATACCGAGGCCAGCGTGGCCAGAGCCCAGGACGGAGGAGGAGGAGTAAATGGCAATACAGTCAGGGAGACTGGCAGGGTTTCTGAGTCCCGGAACCCTGTGGGCCATGACAGGGAGCTATTATCGCCAGCCTCCTCTAGGTCTAGACTTAGGAGGCTTTTAAGTAGGGCTGGGATGGCCATTAGCCCTGTGGCAGTGAACAAGACAGAACGTTGAATCGAATTCAGCT